ACTGAAATATGTGATCCCTAAAAAAGTGCCTACATATAAAAATATTAAAAGCACCAAAATAAAGGAGTAAAGTTAATAGCATACTTACGGGTACGATCCCTATTCCAGGCATGGCAGGTGATTGGCTCTAGTAAAAACTGATGCAGGGACATTATTCTTAGTGTTTTCAAAGGATAGGAAGCTGTAATAAGCAACAGAAAAAAGCATTTAAAATGGCAGGCAATACATATTTCAGTTGTCGGGGGATCCCAAAATATTTGAGGATAAATAAAACATTATTGTCCCATTAGAAAAGAAGCAATCTCAATATCAAAACTTAATCATTTAAATACAACAAATACTGTAACCACCAATGTATACTTTATTCTGTCAAGGGTCATCAAGGGACCCTAAAACCACGAGTTAAAAATTGTTGGGGAACAGGATATTCACACAGTCTCAAATTATCATCCCACAAAATACTTACTAATTTTTAAGAGAAAAACATGCCTTAACAATAAAAAAAATCTGGTAATTGGGGCGCCTGGGTGGCTCAGTCGGTTAAGCATCCGACTTCCGCTCAGGTCACAATCTCACAGTTCGCGAGTTCGAACTGGGTGTGAAGCAGGCTGTTCTGGATTAAAAGAGCTATGAAGATCAAACTCGACAAATGAAACTTGATTATAATCTACAAACATATTTAAGTTTATTTATTTATTTTGAGAGGGACAAAGACCGTGGGGGGAAGGCGCAGAGAGAGAGAGGGAGACAGTGAATCCCAAGCAGGAGCCCTCCGCACTGTCAGCAGGAGCTCCATGCAGTGCTAGAACTCACGAACCATGAGATCATGACCTGAGCCAAAATCAAGAGTCGTCACTTAACCGACTGAGCCACTCAGGTGCCCCGACTGTAATCTATATTTTTAAAACAGCCATAAAAGACATATTTAGTCTAATAAGGAAAACATGAATATTATTCTATGTTACATAACAATATGCAGTTATTTCCAATTTCTTAACTATGATAACTGCCATTAGGAGCATGTTCCAACTCTTAGGAGATAAAGAATGAAGTATTTGGGGATGAAGTGTCACAAGGTCTTCTGTGATTTACTTTCAATGGCTCAGGACAAGTAGACATATAAAGAGCAAACGTGGCAAAATGTTAACAACTGGTGAATCTACACAAAGGGTGTATTACACAGGTATTTGTCACACTGCTTTTTTACTGAAAATGAAAAGCAGGAATCTGTGTGACGCATCATTAAGTTAAAAATCAAATAAAATTCTCTACTTCATAGACACCCAAATCTAGATCCACCAAAGAGGCAACCATTATCTGAAATAGAATTTTTTTTTAAAGCAGCCAGATCCTTCTCCCCTTTATCACTTCTAAGAAGCACTCACACAACACTCTGAAGTTGCAATACACTTCTGTACAAGTCTGATCACCTAGGGTGGAGGCTAAAATGTAAGAATTCTGATGCAAATAGGAAATGAATGGAAAGGAAAGCAGAAGGTTAGGAAGTGAACAATGAAAGTTCAGCAGACAAAGCAGAAATCAATCTCAGTGGAAAGCAGAAAAAATGTCTGTTAATTGTTGTAAAGGAATCCAAAGGTCAAAAACAGATTAAACACACCCTTAAATAAAACATCTGATATCTTGAACTCACAGAGAAATGTCAGTGTTTCACATTCTATTCTAAAGTGAAGACATTTAGGTCACTGACTTTACTCTTACATGTCCTAGAAAGCAAACTGCAAATCACAAATAAAGAAAAAGCCTCTAAATGGAAATTAAAAAAAAATGTTTTAGATGAATTCATATGAGGCTGCTTAATGTGTTTTTTAAAACATAAACTTCCAGATGCTCACCGCATGATTCTCTCTCTCTCTATTCTGGTATCAGATGCTTACCCATCACCACAGGTTTAACTCACAGTTACTCACAATAACATATCATGTCACAAATATCTCCTTAATTAAAAACAATTTAGTTCAAAGGGCATATTTTATAGGCTTATTTGTTAAACAAAATTGGCCTACAAATAATAATTCAACGTGAGTATCTACATGCATTAAAAGCACATATTTCATGTATAGTTAAAAAAAGAACAGCTGCAAAGACTTTCTCATTCTTCAACTCACCCAACGTGGGGCTCGAACTTAAAACCCCGAGATCAAGTGTTGCATGCTGCACTGACTGAGCCAGCCAGGTGCCCCTCAACTCAGTTTTTTAAGCAAAGTAGCAAAAAGAGGTAAACATTTACATAACAACATAATTACTTCTAAAATCACATTTCTAAATTTGTCATATCATTCAAGTTCCATATTTGGACATACTTCAGTTATAATCATGTGGGTAATTTAAGTCTGTAGGGTAAGACAATACTCTTGTTACATTTATAAGACACCCAGTAAACAGTCTGTATTCATCAAAATTAGTGAATGCAGGAGAATAATAGCTTGAATTTTGTTTTTTTGTTTTTTAAAAAAAAAAATTTTTTTTTTTAACATTTATTTATTTTTGAGACAGAGAGAGACAGAGCATGAGCAGGGGAAGGTCAAAGAGGGAGACACAGAATCCGAAACAGGCTCCAGGCTCTGAGCTGTCAGCCCAAAGCCTGATACGGGGCTCTAACTCACGGACCACGAGACCATGACCTGAGCCGAAGTCGGATGCCCAACCGACTGAGCCACCCAGGCACCCCAATAGCTTGAATTTTGTACCAAGATAAAGATACCTTCTGTCATAGGCTGATGATTCTAATTCTAAACTGTTATTAATATTTAAGTGAGATCTGAAAACGTAAGAACAAAAAAAGGTGGTGATGTTAAATTTAACATGCTTCTATTGAAAATCTTTTATTATACAGCACTGAGAGAAACAACGATTTATAACAATTCATAGCATAATTCCAGGCACTCCCCTACAACACACCTCCTTTCTTTACCTATCGCTTTGAGTACAAAGTCATCCTAATGTTTGGTTGCCAGGTCCAAGGGGACCCGGGTTTGAACCTGGGCTTGGGCACATACTAGCTATGCGACCGTGGGCAGGTCACTTTAACATCCCTAAATCTAAATTTTTCTTCATATGTAAAATTGACATTATCACTGACATCCCAAGGCTGTTGGTATGAGGATTAAATGAGATAACATATGAAAACGTGTAGTAAAAAGCCTAGCCCAAAATAGATGCTCACTAAGTTAGTTCTCTCCACCTCGAGAAGTACACACTGGTTAGTATCCTCTGAACTTGGAAATGTCTATACATTTTGAATTCTTGGCCCTGAAGCCTGAAAGTACTTATACAGTGGAAATTTCAGTTGCCAGTTTAGAGTCAAGTTTTTAACACTGTGATTCATCCAGTTTCTAATTGCTCTCATTACCCAACCCAGCGATACCAGGTACTCCACAAAGATCACCACACCCTCCACAAGGTTCAGAGATGAGGTTTCAATGCCAGGCACCAGCCTCACCAGCCGATCATTTTAAACTTCCCCATGGAGAATTTGTTTCAGCACAGGATTCTAGATCCAAATACTGCCACTCTTCCTCCAAGCAAGTGTTTTATTTTTCCAAGATACTCTCCTCCTTTCATTATAACAAGTAGATGAATTAACCTTGGAAGCTCTCTGAATACTCTGTAGTAGGAAGCAGCCAGTTACACCCACCCCCTAGCACGGTAAAAACACCTTCCAGACTGATAGCCTCTCCTTTTTTCTTAGATACCTGAAAACCCAGGACCCACCAGAAACCAAAAGGTGAGATGAAACTGATTTAAAAAGGGGAGGGGGGGGGAGTGGAACTAGGATAACGTAGTTAATTTAGACAATGCATCGAAGCAGATAAAAGTAGGTTAGCATTTCCTTCACGTTCTAGAGCTGCAGTATGACAACAGATAGCTTTATAATCAAGGATTCTAAGGCACAATTTATTACCATGCCTACCATGTTCCCAGCAGTGTAGTAAGTACACGGACAGGGCCAGAAACATAAATAAATCTGACACTTTTCTGGTCCTCAAGTCTGCGGGGAGAGGAGGGTAGCAAAGGAAGGGAAGATAGGTATGCACAGAATGCCCAGGACGGTCGCAATAGCTAATATTTACTGAGCGCCTACACTCTGGGCCAGGAACTAGTCTAGGCAATTAATGCAAATAAAGTTACTTGATCCTCAAAGAAAACTCTAAGAACCTTCCTACTGTAGGTGAGGAAACGCGGACTCAAAGAAGCAATCTTCCCAGGGTCCCCCAACGAAAAGGGGTGGTGCCGGGATCGGAATTTTGGTATAAAAGGTTCCACGGAGCCAGCGGGAGGAGCGAGTCTGCACTACTGACTTAAGATGAGGCACTCGGGCGGGGGAATCTTAAAAGAACTCGGGGGAAGGTCTTTTTCTCGAGTTCGGGAGGGCCCCCCGAACTGAAAGATTGACGGCGGCCCTAGAACGGAGCCGAACATTCCAGGGTCGCTCACCGCCTGGTGCAGTACCTATTCTAGACGCTAAAGAAAGGAATGGTCCGTCGTGACGTTCGACTAGGGGAGGATGATTTCATTTACTACAATTTTACAGATTGTGATAAATGCCCATAATAGGGGTGCAAATAGGGTTACGGAAGCACAGGAGAAGGAGCCGCTAATTCTAGCCCTGGGAAGAGGTCTGGAGCTGGAGAACCTAGAGAGAAGCCAAGGGTGGAGACCCCACGGGTTCGGCCGGCCTCACCGAGAACCGGGATCCCCCGCCCCCTCCGGAGGCCGGGCCAGGAGACCCGGCCCGCCCCTCAGCCTCTGGGCCCCGCGGCCTAAGCCCCCGCCTCACCGCCCCCGCGGGTTCAAGAACGTCTGGGGAGAGGCCGGGCCACTGGAGGCCAACAGGGCCAGAAGCTCGCCCTGCTGTCCCTTACCTGGGATCGGGGCAGTCCGGACCGGCTCGGAGCGGAGAATTCGCGGACTCTGGTCAGTCGACGCGAACAGGCTCCGGCGGGCGCGGGCGGAGGACCGGGGCCCAGAGGGAGCGGCTGACAGATCCCGGAAATGGCCACGGCGCCTGCGCGGCGCGTCCGCCAGGCAGTCTGCGCACGCGCGCAGCTTGGGCGCGCGCGGCCCGAGTCCAGAGCTCGTGAGACGGGGGAGGGTCTGGCGATGAGCGGGGCTCCTGCGGCCCTTTGCCAGTGGCGTCACACAGAGGCTCCAAGGTGGTGGCGAAGCAGCATGGCTGTCTTATTTCTTTTTTCAGAAAGTTTCCTCGGACTCGCGGACCGAACCGTGGAGCGTTGGCGCTTTCACAAGTGGTTTTGTCAGGAGATGAATTAGTGAGAACTGAGGCCTTTTCGAGCCACATGGACCCGACGAACGACTAGTCTTTTCCCTTCAGAGGGAAGTTTCCCTCTTCAGATCCAGTTTCGTACTGTGGAAACCTCTGAGGCCCTCCCTGAGGAAACTTCTCGACCTTTCCTCGGTCGGAATCACGTATTCCCTGCTCCCAAAGTGGCGCCACGACACAGAGGAGTTGGGATTCGTCAACTCCAAGCCCCCAACACGTGGAAAAAGTGTTAAAAGCAAAATATGTAAGAAGTGGCCTTGGCCTCCAGATTTACAGGCTAGTGAACTACAGACTTATCAAATTAAGAAAACGTGGAGGCAGCGCTTGCTGTACAGATTTGGCTTCTACAAAATGCCCTGAACCCTGCTTCCAGCTAGACTTGGCGCCCTTGAACCGGTAGAAATTCTGGAGCAGCACTCCTGGCTTCGCAGCCACTGCTAGTCACCAGCAGAGTGCCTCTGGTGGTTTACGAGTTTGACCCCAGTGTTTGCCTAGAAGGTGATGTTCACACAAGTGAGCTCGTCCCGTTCCTGATGTCAGAACCACACTCTGTTTTCTAGGATTAGTTATTCCAGTTGTTCAAGGAGCATTGCATTGGGAGCAATTGGTTTCATTTTGCCCCAAGGCTACAAAGTGGGTTCTGGGGAGATGAAGGACAGATTGAGAGAACAGAAGGGTCATTTTAAATTAATTACTTCCCTCTCAGTGACACTATCTTGGCATAGGAAGGAAGGCATACGTAGAAGCAAGGGTTCCTCGTGCATCTGCAAGTTGACGTGAGCCAATCCAGAAGTATGTAGAATTGGTATCCGGAGTCAAAATATTAACTGTTTTATTTAGATCTTTACAAAGAACCGTTCCTTCTTCGAAGGAGTTTATAATCTGGATAGATGAGAATAATGCAAATCAGTAAACCTCGATGAAGGTGTTGATACAAGTCGATGCCAGGGATGGCCTCCTGATGCCAGGTCCAGAGCATTTCCCATTATCCCGTCATGCCCTGGTTATAAGAGCAATTGGAGTTCCAAGGAGGGTGAGTTATTTTCAGTGTTTGTTTTTTACTTGCATAAGGACACTGATCTTGTATTCCAAGTGAGGATTCTCTCTTAAAAAATTAGCACCAGGGAAGGTGGTACTTAGAAATGGGAAATGGGAGGAAATGAAGGCTTGGATACTGTCACAGAATGATTTTGTTTGTGTTATTGATTCAGTTGAAATTAGAACAGGATTGAACTGAAATTTGGTCAGACTTCAAGTCATCAAGAAGTTAATGAGTACTCACCAAGTGCCAAGTATTGTGTTAGGCATTTCAGTAAATTAGAGAAGAGTCGGTAAGATCTTTCCGTCCTCAAGGAGCTTAGAAGCTAGGATAAGACCAGTTTACACATAATTTTAAATACACAGAACTACCCAGTGCCTCAAACCAGTAAGGTCCTACTTAATACTTGTTGAATGAAACTATGAATGAATGAAAAATACAGTGAGGGACTTCAAAGAACACAATATTACCACCAGTTGTGAGTGGGAGGAGAGGCTTGTGTAGACACATCAGAAAAGTACCCAATCGTAGGTCAAAAAGATTACTTGTTTGCAAAGGTCTAAAGATTTCTTTCTGCTCAGGAGGGATTTGATTTAGTATCTGGAATGTGGTTTGGAGGGTAAGAAGATTGGTTTTTGCTTTAACTCCAGCTGAACAACAGTGAACACCGCCAATCTGCCTCTATTTTGTTGTTGTTTTAATTTTTATTTTTTTAAAGTAATCTCTACACCTAACATGGAGCTCGAACTCACACCCCACGATCACAAGTGTCATGCTCTTCCAACTGAGCCAGCCAGGCATCCCTCTGCCTTCATTTTGTATCTTACATGGGTTAATGCCTACCATCTACTCACCATAAAGGCTGTTGGAAATATATATCGAACCAATGCCTGTAAAAGTTATAAGTAAACGAAAGGACAAAAGCATAAATGCATGTACTGTGTTAATGCTTAATAATGCTTATGCTTTAGATATTGCCCTAATTGCCCCGCTCCTTTAGACATGTCCTAAATGGTTCCAAGGAGGGAAAGTTTCCTGTAGAAAGGATCTTGTACAATTCAGTACAGAGGACTGAAAAATGCATGCAAGTTTTGGCACTCTAGGCTGCTTCCCCGGTTCATTCCCATAGTGTAGGGATGGGACCAGTTAGTTTGTGGGGTGTCTAGAAGCATAAGATAGTCTCAGAAGGTATCTAAATACCAAAGTTTAACAAATACACTTATAAGACAAACACACAAGCAAACTTATGAATACCAGATATGGTTTTCCTAATTTCACTAGCCTGTAAATCTGGAGGCCAAGGCCACTTCTTTTTTTTTTTTTTTTTTAATTTTTTTTTTCAACGTTTATTTATTTTTGGGACAGAGAGAGACAGAGCATGAACGGGGGAGGGGCAGAGAGAGAGGGAGACACAGAATCGGAAACAGGCTCCATGCTCCAAGCCATCAGCCCAGAGCCCGACACGGGGCTCGAACTCACGGACCGCGAGATCGTGACCTGGCTGAAGTCGGACGCTTAACCGACTGCGCCACCCAGGCGCCCCCCAAGGCCACTTCTTAACGCATTTTGCTTCTAATGCTTTTTCCACGTTGCTATGCAAACTTAGATTATTTTAATAGAAAGATAGTATGATAGAGTACCTAAGAGAATTCATTGACTTTGGAAATAAATAGGACTGGGTTCAAACTCTGCAGCTTATCATCCATATGACTTTGGGCAAGTCAACTTCTCTCAGTTTATCTGTCAAATGAGGATAGTTTCCACCACTTAGGGTTGTCCTTAGGATTAAAATAAAGAACGCATACAAAATGCCTGTCAGTTCAGGGTGCCTGAGTGGCTCAGTTGGTTAAGCGTCTGATGCTTGGTTTCTGTTCTGGTCATGATTTCACAGTTTTGTGAGTTTGAGCCCTGCATACAGCTCTCTGCTGTCAGCGTAGAGCCTGCTTCAGATCCTCCGGCCCCCCCCCCCCCCACCTCCCCTGCTCACACTCTCTCTCAAAAATAAATAAACATTTTAACAATGCTTATCAGTTCTTGGCTTATTAAAAGCACTCAATAAATTATGGCAGTTATTGTTTGAACATATTGTACCAAGTTGATTCTCACAAGGTATTATTTCCCAATTGTTTTCTTCCAGTCTGTGGCTTCTCTTCATTTATTATCTTAATTAATATCTTTCAAAGAACAGAAGTTCTTAGTTTTGAGGAAGTCCATTTATCTGGTGTCATGTCTAAGAAATCTGTGCCTAATCGAAGGTTATATAGATTTTCTCCTATGTTTTTAATAGAAGTTTTACACATTGATTTTAGAGTGTTAAACTAAACATGCGTTGTTGGGATAAGTCCTACTTAGTTCTTTCTAAAAAAAAATTTTTTTTAATTTGTTTTTGACAGAGAGACAGAGCATGAGTAGGGGAGGGGCAGAGAGAGAGGGAGACACAATCTGAAGCAGGCTCCAGGCTCTGAGCTGTCAGCACAGAGCCCGACATGGGGCTCAAACCCACCAGCTGCGAGATCATGACCTGAGCTGAAGCTGGACACTCAACCGACTGAGCCACCCAGACATCCCAGTCCTACTTACTCTTGGTGTATTATTATTTTTATATGTTATTGCATTCAGTTGCTAAAATTTTCTTAACAATTTAGCAATTTAAAGAGCGTCTGGCTTGCTCAGTTGGTAGTGCTTGTGACTCTTGCTCTTGGGATCTTGAGTTTGAGCCCCATGTTGGGGGTGGAGATTACATAAAAAAATAAAAATAAAAAAATTAAATCTTTAGAGGCTATAAGCAACTTGCTCAAAGCCATACTATTAAAAGTAACAGCAAAGTATGGGGAGCCTGGACGGCTCAGTTGGTTGAACATCCAACTCTTGATTTCAGCTCAGGTCATGATCCCAAAGTTGTGGGTTCAAGCCCCACTTGGGGCTCCGTTACTGAGTGTGAGCCTGCTTGGGATTCTCTCTCTCACTAAAATGAAATAAAAATTTTAAAAAGTAATAACAAAGTCAAAACAATTGCTTAAAATATTTAGCAATTAAGATCTTGGCTTATGAAGGATATTGTTTTGCAGTTTACTTTTCTTGTAATCTTTTTTTCTGGTTATTAGAGTAATTCTGGTTTCATAAAATGGGCTTAGAAGTACTCTTTGTCTTAAATTTTTGGAAAGAGTTTGTGTACAATTGGCATTTCTTAATTTCTAAACTTGGGAGTTTTATATTTTTGTTATTGATTTCTGTCTTAATTGCATAATTTCTAGCTTAATTACTCATTTGTTGTTGCTTGCTTATTCTTTTGATTACTAAGAAAGGTGGGTTAATATCTCTCAAGTGATCGTGGGGTTGTCTATTTCTACTGTCTGTTATTTTTTCTTTGTATACTTTGAAGCTATATCATAGGTGCCTCCATGTTATAGAATTGTTATGTGTTATGAATTGGACATTTTATCATTTTGAAATATTCCTTTTTTTTTTTCAAGTAAGCTCTACACCTAATGTGGGGCTTGAACTCACAACCCTGAGATGAAGAGTCCCATGGACTACCAAGTGAGCCAGCCAAGTGACCTGAAATATTCCTTTCTAATAATGCTTTTGCTCTCAACATTTACTTTGCTGATATTAATATAGCCATATTAATATAGCCAGTTTTTTGAGGGGGTTAGGGTTTGCCTAGCATATCTTTTTTGTCCTCTTTTTACTTATAAGTATTCTCTTACCTTATATTTTTAGATGTGTTGCTCATAAACAACATATAGTTGCAATTTATTATTATAGTATATTTATCTTTGAAATATCTATCCATTTACACTTAAAGTAATTGCTGATATATTTGAGTTTAACTCAGCCATCTTGTTATATGCTTTTTGTCTTGCCTATTCTGGTTTTTTTCCTCTTTCTTGCCTTCTCTTGGATTGTTTTTTATTACTCCATTTTCTTTTTTTAAATTTTTTAATGTTTTATTTATTCTTGAGAGACAGAGACAGAGTGCGAGCAGGGGAGAGGCAGAGAGAGAGGGAGACAGAATCTGAAGTAGGCTCCGGGCTGTCAACACAGAGCCCGATGTGACCTGAGCCAAAATCAAGAGTCGGATGCTGGACGCTTAACCAACTGAGCCACCCAGGCGCCCCTTTCTGGGATCACCTTAATCTAATTTTAGGATTTGAGAATTTTCTGGGTCATCCAGATGACTCAAAGATGGACTTCAGTCTCTGGGAGAGATGTTCATCTTCTTTTTTATTTTTTATTTTTATTTTTAATTTTTTTTTCAACGTTTATTTATTTTTGGGACAGAGAGAGACAGAGCATGAACGGGGGAGGGGCAGAGAGAGAGGGAGACACAGAATCGGAAACAGGCTCCAGGCTCCGAGCCATCAGCCCAGAGCCTGACGCGGGGCTCAAACTCACGGACCGCGAGATCGTGACCTGGCTGAAGTCGGACGCTTAACCGACTGCGCCACCCAGGCGCCCCAAGATGTTCATCTTCTAATTCATCCTTACTCCTATTGTCCCATCCCAAAGCACAGATGTGATGGCTAATTTTGCCAACTTGACTGAGCCACAGGATGCCCAGATATTTGGTCAAATATTGTTGTGGGTGTTTCTGTGAGGATCTTTTTGGATGACATTGACCTTTAGACTGGTAGACTGACTAAAGCAGATTGTCCTCCATAATATGGGTGGGCATCATCCAATAATAGCATCTGTTTACTACTCAATAGAACAAAAGGCTGACCTCTCCCAAGTAAGAGAGAATTCCTGCCCCCTGACAGCCTTTGAACTGGAACATTGGCTCTTTCTGGTTGTACAGCAGCTTTTGGCCTTCAAACTTGAACAAGAATATCCACTCTGCAGATTTTTTGCTTGCTAGTCTCCGTAATCATATAAGCCAATTCCTTTTATAAAGTCTTTTTATGTCTGTCTACCTGTATAACCATGTATCTATTTCTATATCTACATGTCTTTTCTCCCCCTTTCTTCCTGTCTTTTTTCATTTATTTTATTTTATTATTATTATTATTTTTTAGATTTATTTATTTTTTGAGAGACAGAGAGAGACAGAGCACAAGTGGGGGTGGTGGTGCAGAGAGAGAAAGAGACACAGAATCCGAAGCAGGCTCCAGGCTCCGACCTGTCAGCACAAGAGTCTGACACGGGGCTCGAACCCAAAAACTGTGAGATCATGACCTGAGCTGAAGTCGGATGCTTAACTGACTGAGCCACCCAGGCGCCCCATGTCTTTCTTTCATTTTTAAGCTTATTTATTTATTTTGAGAGAGAGAGAGAGGCAGAGAGAGAGAGAGAGGAGAGACAGAGGATCCCAAGCAGGCTCCGTGCTGCCAGTGCAGAGCCCCACGTGGGGCTCCACCTCATGAATCGCAAGATCATAACCTGAGCCAAAATCAAGTCAGATGCTTAACCAACTGAGCCTCCCAGGTACCCCTGTATTTCTGTCTTTGTTTCTGTCTTTCTCCTATTGGTTTTGTGTCTCTGGAGAACCCTCTCCAATATAATAGATGTTTACCAGGACCTTTGTCCTTGGAGGGTCCTGGACTCCATCTTTTGTCTCTGTAGTATGATAGACTATTAAAAGTACTGCTTGGTGGGCGCCTGGGTGGCGCAGTCGGTTAAGCGTCCGGCTTCAGCCAGGTCACGATCTCGCGGTCCGTGAGTTCGAGCCCCGCGTCGGGCTCTGGGCTGATGGCTCAGAGCCTGGAGCCTGTTTCCGATTCTGTGTCTCCCTCTCTCTCTGCCCCTCCCCCGTTCATGCTCTGTCTCTCTCTGTCCCAAAAATAAATAAAAACGTTGAAAAAAAAAAAAAAAGTACTGCTTGGGCTCTTAGCCAACTGGTTTGGAATCAACAAATAGTCCTTGAGGTAAAGCAGTCCTAAAATACTAGGCTCACTCTCTGATGTTCTCTCTTCTTTTGGATATTGACTTGTATTGACTACGTGATTAGCTCTCTCTTATCTCTGAGCAGATGTTTTGTATATTCTTCCACCTTTCTAGTGCTCATTAGCGGGAGAGTTGTCTGTCACCCTAGTCCTCCATTACCAGAATCATTTGGTAAGTAATTATTTTTAAAAATTGCTCTATTTTTAGGGTGCCTGAGTGGCTCAGTTGGTTGAACATCTGACTTCAGCTCAGGTCATGATCTCGCAGTTCGTGAGTTCGAGCCCTACATAGGGCTCGCTGCTGTCAGCCTGTCAGCTCAGCCTGTCAGCTGCTGTCAGCTCAGAACCCACTTTGGATCTTCTGTCCCCCTCTCTTTCTGCCCCTTCCCCATTTATGTTTTCTCTCTCTCTCTCAAAACCTAAATAAAACATTAAAAATTTTAAAAAATTGCTCTATTTTGTTTTGCTAACTTCTATTGCATTTATATCTTTGTTTTATTATTAAAAATTTTTTAATGTTTATTTTTGAGAGATAGAGACAGAGCACAAGTGGGGGAGGGGCAGAAAGAGAGGGAGACAGGGGATCTGAAGCAGGCTCTGCACTGACAGCACACCCCCTGACACAGGGCTTGAACCCATGAACCGTGAAATCATGACCTGAGCCAAAGTCGGCTGCTTAACCGACTGAGCCACCCAGGCGCCCCTAATTATGTATCTTTAACACATTATCACATTGTTATTTGCTTTGCAATACATGTTTGTTGCAGGTTAAAGGGAATATTTAATTGTCATCTGATATAGTGCATATCATTGCATACTACTGGCAAATGTAATCACTATGGAGTGTTTATTAAGTGTTAAATAATTAGGTAGTGATACATATAAACATATAAAATGTTTATATTATGTGGAAATGTTTGGAGAATTGTTTTATGGGTGTTTAAGAGGGTTTTAGTGATATTTAGAGAAACCGGTTGGAGTTTTTGGGCAGACAATGCATGCATTCTTTTCTCACTTGAAATCTAATATAGTCTCCTTTGATCTTAGAATCATTTTCAGAAATGGATTAACTTGGGATGACTGTAGTTCAGTTGTGGTATATAGCATACCTTTGCTTTTCTGTGCTCATATCCCAGATATATTTGTGGGTGTCTTATTTTGTCAAACTCCCAAATGAAGATGTTGGTGAAAAGTTGAGTAATTCCACACCTGGAGGGAAACTAACCAACACAAAGAGTGTCTCTCCAGGAACAAATTTAAAGTGGTGGAGAATTGCAAATCTGATAAATATTTTTGTAAGAGGACTGAATGAAATAGCTGGTTTGCTTATGAGTATAACTGTTCTTGTTTGGTTCCTACCTCTGGGCCTGAACTTCAACTACTGATGAATTCAAGTTTCTGCCTCCCTCTGCACACACTTCCTAAGTGATCTCTGTAGGCTCGCAGCTTCAACTACCATACAGAGGTAGCTGACTTCTGACAGTTCTGACAACCAATGAGTTTCTCCATCTGATGTCCTTCAGCTCCCATTCCAATTCAAAATATATAAAACCTGTTATTTCTCGTCCCCTCCCCACCTCAGATTCTATTCTCCTCTCTACCTCTCGCTTCAAGGTGTCATGATCTACCACAGATTGATTACTGGTTCTCAGGCAGTTAGTTACCAAGTCATGTCACATCAATCACATCTGTATTTCTTACCCCCTCCCCCCAAAAGCTTTCAAACCTACAGAAAGATTGCAAGAATAGTATAATTAATATCAATATACCTGTTTACTTAGATTCACCAAATGTTAGCATTTTGTTACATTTGCTTTCTCTCTCATATGATAACAGTGGTTATTATTTGTTGAATCATTTGTAAGTCACAGGCATCATGACTCTTCAGGACCCCTAAACACATCAGCATTTATCTTGAAGAACAAGGTCTTGTCTTACGTAACTATAATACAACAATCACATTCAGGATATTTAATATAAATTTAATATTATTATTTAGTATCAAAATAATTGGCACGTTAATTATAAAACTTGAATTATATAATACATAATTTTAAGTTTGTTATAACTTTGTATTCAAATTTCACCAATAATGTCCTTTCTAGCAACTTTTTTAAGATTTTTTTTTAATTAAGTAATCTCTGTACCCAACATGGGGCTCGAACATGCAACCCCGAGATCAAGAGTCACATGCTCCACTCACTGAACCAGCCAGGCACGCCTGAATTTCTTTTTCTTCATGCCAGAGCAAATCCAAGATCATTTATTGTATTTAATTGTCATATTTCTGTAGTCTAATAAGAAATAGCTCCTTAGCCTTTTTTTTTTTTTTTTTTGGCCTTTCACAACACTGACCAGTCTTGAAAAGTCCACACCAATTATTTTATCAAATGTTCTTCAATTGGGGTGGACACCACCTTAATCAAGTAATCAAACTTAACATCACAAACAGTGACACAAACTGACATCATGTATTTTCTGGTGTGATGCAGTGGGTGGGACACAACTTTGCTTGTTAGTAGTCCTTGCCCACAGTGCATAATCTGAATTGAATTATGACAAACCTCTCTTGCTCTCCAAATAAAGTCCATACTCCGTAACAAGTTGTCAAGGTCTCCCATGCTCTGTCACCTTCATCTCTCACCATGTCCTTTGTGCAGCAGACACTGTGGCTCTCTACACATCACCTTTACTCTCTTGGCATCTCTACTTTTGTTCAGGTAGTTCTCAGAGAAGCCAGGCCCTTCCCTAGTCCGGGGAACGAGCCACAATTGGTCCATGCCTCACGTGGCAGCCCCATTGCCGCTTGCTGCTAATTGGCTTAGGGATGGGCGTGTGACCCATTTCTGCCAATGGACTCAAGAAATTTCCTAGGGACCTTCTGGGAACAGATAAGGTCCCTGATAAAAAGGATGATGAGGAAGTCTTTCTTTTTTTCCTGTCTTAAACATGGTTGTGGGAAGATAAGATGGTTAGAGCTGTGGCAACTGTCTTAATAGACCTGAGAGTAAAGTAGTGTGGAAAGGTGGAGACCTAATTCCAAAACCGTCTGGGACTGCAGTGGTTGGTGTGTAAGATCATTAAATGTCTCTATTGCTTGTGCCACTGTTGCTCATGTGCTGCTATCTGCCACCAAGTGCACGCTTAGCTGGTCCTCCCCACACCCACCTTCCGTTCCCACATGCTCTACCTCCCCTTTATGTTTAATTCCTGCTCATCCTTAGACTTCAGCAAAGACATGATTTCTTCTAGAATGCCTTCCTTTATCTTCCAAGACTGGGCTGAGCATGTGTCCTGTACCTAACCCCACAGTAGCCTTTCTAATTGCTAAACTCTCATAATACACTTTTCCCCTTGGTCTAAATGTCTGGTTACTATTTTGCTGCCTATACTTAAACTTTTTTTTTCAATGTATGTAGAGAAAAGTTTTATGGAATCAGTGCTTCAAAGCTGCAGGGTACAGTTTTCAGTAGTCTAAGCCAGGGTTCAGGAAGTAGAGGGAAGAATTGTCCCTTATAATAGCCAGCAGGTTTCCTTCCAGTCTTGCAATTTTACTGTAACTCAGGGTTGGCCTTTTCACAATAGATCTCCAGGCCCAGTTCCTGGTAGCTTATGAGTGGAAGGGTCAAGGGGCCTTTGTGATGATTTTGTGATTTCTGGAAGCACCCAAAGATGTGTTCCTTGGGAAGACCCAGACATGCTGGTTTCCCTACAGGGACTCAGGATTGGTTCACAAGTGAGAGGAGGGGGAAGATAATTGGCATTTTTAAATGTACCTGGGATTTGTTTTAATGGGATATAAGACATACAGATATGGAAATGATCGTCATGAGGGAAGTTTCTATACTCACAGACCCATCCATAGAAGCAGGAGCATTGGCATGTCATGCCCCTTGGGGCCATGTGGGGAAGCACCAGGGTAGGCCAGGAGGGAATGCATGCACACGAGTCTTTATTGTGGTTTCATGGGCAGGAATGGGTGAGGCGAGGTGAGCAGGTTTAGGATTGGCTAGTTTGAATAATTTCATTAGGTTCTGGAACATAGGAGCTGTTCCTAGTTGTTTGGTATCTGGCCCTGGGATGATTAGGACAGAGGAATATTGCCTCCTAGAACATGAGAGCTAGATGGAGGAGGCAGTTTGGAGTATGGGCTCTGGATTGGTTAGTCTATATGAAAGTCGTTTCCTATCTGTAAGAATTATCTAGCCCTGGGAGAGGCAGTGTCTCCTTGGTCAGAGAGGCAACAGATGGCAGAGTATCAAAAATACAGAAAATAAGGGACTCCTGGGTGGCTCAGTCGGTTGAGCGGCCAACACTTGATTTCAGCTCAGGTCATGATCCCAGGGTCGTGGACTGAGCCTCACATCAGTCCGCACTGAGCATGGAGTTAATATAATCAGCGATACAAAATTTAACAGCCTTGAAAGCTAGCCCAAAACATTTAGCAAAACCATTTGAATAGTTGTTGCTCCATTTACTCTGCAGTACCTGGTGCCAGTGCCCTGATTTTGGTCATCGTGGATACTAATTCAATGTTATTATTTTGCAAAGCCATAGATTATATCCTTTTAGGCTTTTGCGCCATTCTGAAATTACACGTCCTTGGGCAAAAACAGCATGTGTGTCTAAGTGAAGTCCATTCTCTCATAAATACTGGGTCTAAAAGCTTCCCTCACCCCACTCAACAAAGGATGTTTAGCTCTGTCATTAACTGAATGGTCTTGGGCAAGTCACTGAGCCCGTCTACATCTATTTCCTCTGCCTCCCCTCCCCTTCCTCCAGCAAAGTGAGGAGCTGCTCTGGAATTCTCCAAATGTGGGGAGACCATGAGTAGACCATCCACCAGGAAACAATGATAAGTTCTTAAAATTCCATGGAATTCCCCTTGCATTTGTCCAGAAAGAGGCTTGTTGCTATAAGCTGCTGGACTGGTAGGCCAGGCCTAGCCTCCCTTGGGAGATTGAGTGTTAAGTCCTAAAGAATGCTAGAAGAAACGTGGCAAGTGCCTAAGTGTTATGCATAATAGGCTCTGTGCCAGGTTATCTTGTTTAAACTTCACATTCCTAAGAGGCAGATACTGTTATTATTCCTCATTTAGTAGTTGAGAAAACAGGAGGTGAGATAGGTTAAGTTGCCCATGGTCTCACTGCATGAGAAAGAAAGAAAGTGGAA